AAAAAAAAAAAAAAAAGAAATTAGATCTTAAATGTTCTCACTATAAAAAATAAGTGCAGTATGTGAGGTGATAGAGACATTAATTAGTTTAATTTAATCATTGTACTTTGTATATACATCAAAACATTCCATTGTACACTGTAAATACATACAAATTTTAGTTGTCAAAAAATTAAAATTTTTTAACAATAGAAATGACTTCAAGGATAACCCAAGCAACTGGGAAGATGCCAGTTATTTAAAAATTCATCCCAAAATAGCTGATCAAAGGCCAACTGCAGGATGTGGCATGATTTCCTGGTACAGTTCTCTCTGGCTGTACTTACCCTGACAGGGGCATTCTTTACCTTCTTGCTTCCTTCAGCCAGCTCACAGCCGTCACTCCCTTCTCATTGTATGTACTTTTCATCATCTTATGCTTTCACCAGCCAGTCTTATTTGTATCTTAAGCCCAAGAAATTGCACGGTTTGGCCAATGTGTTCAACCAGTCACTTAAATGAGAACTCCTAATCAAAATGGTCATGGGGCTGAATTGATAAACTGGCCAGAGCCCTAAGATATGATGGAAGGAACTTCCTGGTTTCTCTTCCACCCATGCACATGTCCTTTGATTGTGACAGTTCCACCCATGTACAAAACACAAAATCCAACAAGAGAGAGGAATCCTCATCCAGTGGAAAACTGTAATTGGAAACAGCAGGGGGCACCTCCTTCATTCATTAAATGAGTATCTAGGGGCTCCATGTATCAGGCATTTTGTTAGGCTCTGAAGTAGGACAGATAAAACCTCTTTTCCATGGGACTTAAAGTAGGAACATGGTAGCAAAAGAACCACTATTTATTGAGCTCCCCCACAAACATAAGAGGTCTCCACTTTTCATAACATTCCTGGAAGGTAAATGTTATCATCCCCCTTTTATAGAAATGGAAACTCAAGAATTGCCCAAGATCACCTCGGTCTGTGTGCTCTTTCCTCTGACCACCCACCTTGTGCAGTCTCTTCCTTTATTTATTCCTTGGAGGACTCTAAGGGTGATTTATTTAAAGGCTATTCCCTTACGACAAGAGATTAAGGGTGCCCAGGAGACCCGATGAGCATGAGACTCACTGTCAAGAATCTTTTTGGGATCTTTGTATCCTAGAATCACCACCACCCAAAGCCAAGAAGAAAATGAGTTCCTAAAGGAACTCATCAGTTAAGCAGTTATGCAAATAGTATTTCAGAGAAAACTTACCGGCCACCACACCATACTTCGGCCTGCCAGGAAGAAGCCTCCAACAGTTCCACGATTGGTGGAAAACATAGCCTGAGGAGGAAAGGGTCAAAAATGTAATAGAAAACTAGAAGAGTGGCCTTGCCAGCCAAAAGAATATACCTCCCCATATGTGGACCTTCTTCTACCCACTCCACTTTGTGAAACACTTTCATATTCCTTCTTCCCCTGCAGCCTCAAAAGACTAAGATGAAGGAGCCAGGAACCTACGTTTGATAGACAAGGAAACTGAGGCTCAGAGGACATATACAGCTTACTCTAGGGCTAGTGCAAAATTAGCTTCCAGCAAGTCACTCCACCTGGATCTGCTTGCTTGTCTGTTAAACGGCAGGAATGGAGCTTTTTATGCCTTTCTTACAAGCATATTGAGGTGCCTAATGAATGCTGTATTTATTTTAGCCTCCTGAGTAGCTGGGATTACAGCCACATGGTGGCATATGCCTATAATCCCAGCTACTCAGGAGGCTGAGGTGGGGGAATCATTTGAGCCCAGAAATTCAAGACCAGCCTGGGAAACATAGCAACACCCATCTCAAAAAAAAAGAAAAAGAAATATCATACTTTTTTAAAGTACCATATGGGATATGAATGATATCTTTGTTACCAGAAAAGTGAAAAAATGCTCTTAAGAATGCAAGGCATTTGTACTAAATATTAAATAAAAGACCAGACAAATTCAAGTCTTTCCTCTCTGAGGGTGTAGGTAGCAGGTTGCTGGAATCATCATCATATATATAGAATGATTATATATATTTTAGACAGAGTCTCACTCGGTCACCTAGGCTAGAGTGCAGTGGCATGATCTCAGATCACTGCAACCTCTGCCTCCTGGGTTCAAGCAATTCTCGTGCCTCAGCCTCCTGAGTAGCTGGGACTACAGGCATGTGCTATCACACCCGGCTAATTTTTGTATTTTTAGTAGAGATGGGTTTCATCATATTGGTCAGGCTGATCTCAAACTCCTGACCTCAAGTGATCTGCCCGCCTTGGCCTCCCAAAGTGCTGGGATTACAGGAGTAAGCCACCACACACAGCCAATATATTATGACTATAGTGTTAGTATAGAGGAAGGAGAGGACTCTGTCAGACCAGGGAGCCAGGAAAGGCTTACAGAGCTAGCAGCATTTCAGCAAATCTTGATTGAAGAAAGAATGGAATTTTATTAGAGAAGAGGGAGGAATGTGGTAAGATTCCAGAACAGCAGATCTAGAGGTGGAACCTCACCCAGCATGGAGAAGGAGAGAATGGCGAACAGTGTTATCTGGTGAGCTTGGCTGAGGCATTTGAATGGAGAAAGTGGTGAGAAGTGGGGCAGAACACACAGTCAAATGCCAGGCTAAAACGTGCAGACTTTATTGCATAGGCAGTAGGGAGCCACTGAGGGTTCATGAGGAGAAAAATGACATGCATCTTCAATATACGATGACTAGCACCTCCCACAGATCTCTTGGGATGTTGCCTCCAAGCCTTCAGATTATTTCTGGTCCAGCTCAGGCCCAGGGCCAGTCCTCCAGCAGAAAATAGGGTCAGTGCCTCTGTTCCTGTCCCCTGGCCATCTTCCCTCTTCTTCTATGTGATTGGCTCCTCTTAGCGGACACTTGCTAACCTCCCTGAAAATGTTAGTAGCTGATAGTGACTTAACTGTGTCAGAGGTGGTGCCTTCTTTTTTTTTTTTAGATGGAGTCTCATTCTGTTGCCCAGGCTGGAGTGCAGTGGTGCAGCCTCGGCTCACTGCAACCTCCGCCTCCCGGGTTCAAGCAATTCTCATGCCTCAGCCTCCTGAGTAGCTGGGAGTACAGGCACACACCACCACGCCTGCTAATTTTTGTACAGACAGGGTTTTGCCATGTTGTCCAGACTGATCTTGAACTCCTGATCTCAGGTGATCTGCCCGCCTCGGCCTCCAAAAGTACTGGGATTACAGGCATGAGCCACTACGCCCGGCCAATGTCTGCATTTTCATAGGTGACCACTAAGCTAAAAAGCATCACTATTCCGAAGGCATTAACCCCTGATGGTGACATCTCAGGCACTTAGACACTTGTAATTTAGTCATCAAACATGCCTGAGACAGATAACATGTTGCTAGGTGCTCAGACTCAACGATGTATTATTGAACTTAGTCCTTTAGGAAGCAGGGCCATTATTGTGTCCCATCAGTCAACATAGATTTGCTGAGCTCCCCCATGTGCTGGGCAGTACTCGGGAGAGCATGGCTTGGGTCTTTCTGGACTCCTGGCAGGGTCCTTCCTCCCATAGGAGATACTGTGAAGTCCTCTGTAGCAGTTTTTTTGGGAATAGCAAGAGATCTAAGAATCAGAAAAGGTAGCTAAGGGCCAAAACAGAAACAAATCCCAAGGACCCGAGCTATAGCAACTGACCAAGGAAAAGCCATTCTGAAGGCCACTGTGAAGTTGAAGAAGATTGATATCCCCAGTTGGTCTCAGAAATGAAGACCTTAGAGGAAGAATGTGAGGGCAGAGACTAGAGTGGGGAGCTGAAATAATTCAGGAAAGATGATGGGGATGGATAAAAGGTGAAGAGAGGTGTGTGTGCACCAAGGCTTTTCTTCTTCGGAATTTTCATCCCCTCATCCATGCAAGCCCAGACACTACCTATTCATTCTTCAAGGCCCCTCAAAATCCACTTCCCCTATGAAACTCTACCTGACACTCCCCCATGGAAACCTCCTCCTTCCCTACAGCCTCCTCCCTTCTCCAAGTGAAAGTGTCTGAACACCCAGATGACTTCACTTATGCCTTGTTCACAGCCATTACAATTTTTTTTTACTTTGTGTTACCATATTACAAATTTTTAATTTCCCATAATGCTTTGGGCATAATGCTTTGTGCACAGAAAATCACTGTTCTGTGGGCATGAGATGCTCAAAGGATAACTTTAAAGTTCCAGACACCACTTTGTAAACCACAGTGTTACATTCACCTGTCCACTCTACAACTAGAAGAGAATGAACTCACAACTCCAAGCTGTTGGGGTAAAAGAAGGACAATTACTGACCCACAATGTTTTGGTTTGGGGTTTACTTGGGTTCTATCTCCACGGAATACAAAGAGCACTGAGCAGAAAGGAAGAACTTTAGGCCTCTTTCCAGAAGAGGAACAACTTAAGAAGCTGAGGATGTTGGGCCTGGAGAAGAGAAGCCTCAAATGCAGCCTATTGTCTTCTGAAATGTAAAGTGGGACAGACATGATGCTTGGTGTGGCCCACATAGGACACAACCAGACAAAATGACAGAATTTCCAGGACATCAGGTCTCAGCCCAGAGCCAAAAGGAATATCCTCTCTGTCAGAGCTGTCCAGAGATGGAATAAAGCCACTTGGGAGAGTTTCCACTGGAAGTGTTCAAGTGAAGGCTGTTGACAACTAGTCTAAAGTTGATTTTGTCAAATGATCTAAAGAACAGCATCAACTTAAAAAAAAAAAAAAAAAGCAAAGGAATTCAGCACCACCAGGACACTGTCACAACAATGCAATGACAGTAAGGACCATGGAGAGAGTATTCCCAGAAAGGCAAGTGTCTTGGGGAGTGAGAAAGGTAGAATAGTGGAAAGAGCATTGGCTTTGGCATCATAAGACCTTGATTCTTGTCCCAGCTCTGGGACTGATTCATCTGAATGACTTCTGGTTACCCTCTCTGATCCTTATCTGTAAAACAGAAAGGTTGGGCTCCCTCAAGGGCCATTCCAATTCAGTCATTCAATGATGCTATCAGTTCAAATGACTGCATAAGACAGGGGTCAGTAATATTTTTTTCTTTAAAGAAAAAGGGCCTGATGGTAAATACTGAGGCTTTGTGGAATATACAGGGTCTCTGCTGCAAATTCTTCATATTTTGTTTTGTTATTTCTTTTTCACAACCCTTCAGAAGTGTAAAAACCATTCTTGGCTTATGGACCATACAAATACAGGCTGTGAGACAGATGTGGCCCATGGGCCATAGTTTAACAACCCCTGGCTTGAGGGAATTTCAGGATAGCTTGATGAACTCTTCCAGGAAGAATAAGGTCAGAGATCCAGCTTAAAAGGATATAAAATTCCCTAAGAAACAAACTGATAGGTGGTGAAAGAAAAATGGAAATTAACTCTGAAGAAGCAATAAGCCAAAGCCTAAAATATGATTGGAGGAGACAGAGTTGTAAAAGGACAAAACAGAACCAAATAATGTTGGAAGACATGGAGAAGGTGACAGAGGGACATTGACTCAAGTGTGGGTCTTTTCTAAGTTGAAGAAACACAATGGGCCTGGACCACTCTGCATGTGCAGCCCAGAGATCATGAAGGAGTCAGAATGGCCACCCCTGAATCAAGTCACTCTTGACACTTTAACAGCAAACAGAGGAGGACAAACTGGAAGAAATCCAATGCATTAAATGACCAGGGTCCAGAGGCACTGTCTAATGGGGGAAGATTAAACATAGACAAATACTAAACAAGCTATTAAGTAGCATTTAGCAGGACAAGTGATACTGATTCACAGATACTTGAAACATGTAAACACCATTTAAAAAGTATAAACACCTACTGGACTGGCAGGGCTAAAATGAGATTGGTTAAGAGAACCGAGATTATCAGAGATTGTCTGGGAAACAGGCAGTACTGTATAGCCAGCAGATGACAGGCTCACACCTTGGCTCTAGTACTTATAAGCTGGGGTGGGTGGGAGGAGGAAATCAGTCACAGTGGCAGAGTGCCTGGTACCATAAAAAATCAGGAGCCAAGAGATCTGAGTTAAAAGAACAATTTCATCTATTGTAACCTTAAGCAAATCACAACCAAATGAGGCTTCAATTTCCTCTTCTGTAAAATGGGGATTAGCATTCTGGCCTTCCCTGTCTTGTGGCTTTTGTAAAAATATACTACCCACCTGACCACTGCTGCCCATTTTCAAACATTGTTCAGAGTCTAGATCATACCATGGAAGGTAAATGACAATAGTAGTTTTTTTTTAATCCCAGAATCCGTAAACAGCTTTCAGATTCACCTCTGCATATCCTCACCACAACCATGGGGGAGTCATTAGAATAGATAAGAGTGTACCTATTTTAAAGTTGAGTAAACGGAGGCTGAGGGAAGTTACCCAGTGTTGCAGAATTCGAACCATATGAAAGCCAGTAGTGAACTTGAGTATCCTGGCTCCTAGTTGGTCAGTTTCCACTATGTCTGGGAAGCTGAGAGTATTGAGGGAAAGTCAGCCATACTGACCCCATGTGACACTTGGGAGGCATTCTGCCACATGTAGTTTCTACAATTCCTTTGAAAAAAAAACACTTCCTTTTCCTTTTGTCCCTGAAAAAGCTCTGTGTCCACAGAAGGGTTCATGCCTATCTTCCTCTCCTCTAAGTCAAAAGAGTTCAACACAATTACCAGCTGGTACAGCAGCCTCCCTGGGCTTATCACCTCCACCTCCATAACAATCATGAGAGTGGCTGGAATATCTGCAAACTTTTTATAATTTTTTTATTTTTTGTAGAGACAGTCTCAGTATGTTGCCCAGGCTGATCTTGAACTCCTGGACTCAAGCAATCCTCCCACTTTGGCCTCTCAAAATGCTAGGATTACAGGAGTGAGCCACCACACTCGGTCCTGCACACTTTTAAAACATCTCCTCCTCTAGTTGTTGGGCGTGCCAGAGTCTGTCATAAGTGAAATGTCCATGTTCCAGGTGGCTGAGAACAAGTTTCTCTGGTTTGTTGTGTCCCCAGAGTCCCAAAAGGAGACACACACTTCCCTCTCCCCAGTGCCAGGTCACCCCCAGATCTTCCTCCTCCTCCTCCTTCTCCTCCTCTTCCTTTTCCACCCATCTTTCTCATCTCTAACTTGCTCCAGCCCCTGGGATCCTCACGCACAAGGCCTCTGGGTTAACCTCTCCCAGAATGGGGGCATGGAGTCAGTATCCCACTGTCTGCCACCTCAGCATCCTCATCTCTGGGGCTGGCAGAGGCTGTGGCTTTCCCACTCCACACCGTTTCTTTCCCATCTGAAACTGGATGACTAAAAGGTAGGACAGTAGTCACCTGCTAGAGGCTCATCTCCCAAGCCCCAGAGCCCTCGCTGCAGCTCCAAGTGGCCCCTTCCCTGCTCCTTACACTTTCCAGTGGTCTCTTCAAACCCCCACCTTCCTCCTCTGCTCACAGGCCCAGGTATCCTCCTTGGTCCTTCCTGGCAGGCTGCCCTGGGCACCCTTCTCACTTCTGCTCATCCTTGCTTGCCCTCCTCCCTTCATGCTGTGCCTCTGAGTGCTTCTAAAGTGCTTCCAAGTCATTTCCTCTCCCCTCCACTGACACTTAAGCCTACTGCCCTTTGCAGCTCAGTGAGGCTGTTGCTCCTCCTCCGTGAGCACCCTCCCCGCCCGCGTCCCAGGACCCACTGCATACCCACAGTCCGACGGCCATCACCACCACGAAGTAGATAACGATGACAGAGATGTCAGCTGCATTGCGAATGAGCTCGTGGGTCTCAACAGGCCGGGTGACCGAGGTGGTCGTGGGGCTCCAGGTGCTACTGTCCATGGTGGCAGAGTTGTGTCCCTCCCTCTCACCAGGGCCACTAGCTCCTTATACGGCCTCCTGGTTAATGATCAGCACTGGGGGAGGGGACCTGGGACGTTGAGGGAGCAGGGCAGTAGCGCGGGGCCCCTGTGATGCCTTGCAGGCTGCACCGTCGGGAAGCAGCTCCGGGCGTGGAGCCCAGGAAGGAGCAGTTGGCTGAGCTGTTGGCTGGGGCGGCGGTTGGGCAGGTAAGAGTTGTCCTGTGAATGGGGAGGGGCCAGCCAGGGGGTGGTGCCTGCCTGGCACAAAGGCCCACTGTACTCCCACAGCAGGCACCAGCAGCGCCACCACACCTGCCCTTGCCAGAGCTGGAGTGGCTCCATTGAGGGAACAGGCCACCTCAGGCTGGGGGCCTAGAGGCTTCAGATCACCTGCCACCCATCCTTGGACCAGTCCCAGGCCTTCTAAGGACTTGGCTTATCCGCTTGTAAAATGGGTGCAGCACTCTTCTGAGGAATCAGTCAAGTCTTGTTCTCTCTGGAGAACATTCTTGAGAGGATAGAGTTTCTGGGTGTCGCTGGAAGAAAATCAGCACAATCCTAATCTCTTGGCCACTAGGACAGCCACCCACCCACCCACATTCCTGACTCCCCCTCCACAGCCTTGCAGCCCCCAGGACCACTGTTACGCCCACTGTAAAGAGGAAGAAACTGAGACTGGGGAAAGGGATCTCACTGCGAGCTATTTCCTTGCCCTGTCCCTCTCCCAGTAATGATGCAGGGCCCTCCAGAGGCAGCAGAAGGGATACTAGAGAACTCTTTCCAAGGAGTTCATCAAACCCTGACCTTCCTGGGGACTCAGCTCACCCATCTGGAAATACATGTCTAAACCACAAGCCAGGGCTCAGAACAAAGATGACCAAGAGAGGAAGCATGACCTGCCCAAGGTCATACAGTAAGCCAGTAGCAGAGCTGGCCCTGCAGCCCACACCAGGGTTCAGAGGGAGGGTTGTGGGGTATTCTCAGGGGCTGGCTCTAGAGGCCACAGAGCAGCCAGAAGTGGCTGTTCCCAAAGAGGGGGTCCTTGCTCTGATGGGGAGGTGCAGGGAGGTGGGGGGCCACAGAAACTCTGCCAGGACTCTGGTCTGCCTCAGGCCCTCCCTGCCCACTGCTAGACAACCACCCACTCACCAAATGTGAGCATCCTGTTCCTTTGCACTCAGTGCTTCAGAGGTCTGCTTCCCCTCCTTCCGTATCAGCACCTGTTCTTCCCACCGAAGCTGCAGACAAAGAATCATTATTTGGACATCATCCCCACAGGTCTTCCCCATTTCCCCCACACATCCCCCAGGACTGCAAACTACATAAGGCTATGTCCTGGGGCCAGTATAATGCCTGCCCAGAGGAAGCAGGAATTCTTCCGAGGAATCTGAAAGCAGGGGCTCACTGCTGTGAATGCCTGCCAAGACTTAGAGCTCAGCTGTCAGCTGCAGCTTGGAGCAACTCGCCTTTTGCCTGTGTTCATTCGTTCCTGCATTCAGACAGTTTTTTCACCTGGATGTATCCCAGGAAGATTCCCTGCCCTTAGGAAGCTTCTGTTCTAGTCTGGAAGTGAACCCACCCACAGGAAAAGTCCAGCCCTGAACCCAGATGCAGGTGCAGGCAGCCAGACCATGCCAAGTTCCAAAAGTACAAGGCATAGAAAGTGAAGCGAGCAGGAGAGAGAACTGGAAATACTAAAGGACTTCAAAGGAGGGACAGAGCCATTCTTTGATCTTTTTAGGAGAGCCAAACATAAATGGGTAAAGAAAGGAAAGGATGGGGCCCAGGTAGAGGTCAGAAAATGCATCCATTCATGCACTCATTTATTCTTGCAACAAAAGAGCAGCTTCTATGTGCCAGGTCATATGTGCCAACCCTGGAATACCACTATGAAAAGACTCACACAGCTCTTTCCCTCACAGAGCTTCCTGACCAATGACAGAGATAGATCAGCATCAAAGATGAGACAACTACCTATGAAATTACCATTGTGACACATGCTTTGAAGGAGAAATACTAATACCCCAAATGCCTACCAAGGAATTTGACCTGGGGATAAGGTGAGGTTAGAGTAAGATCTGTGAAAGCTCTGGTTTGAGCAGGGACCTGAAAGAAAAGGAGGAATAAGCCAGGTAAGGTGGGAGTGAGGGACATTCCAGAAGATGACAAGCATGAGGAGTAGGGAAGGGGTTACAATATTTAGGGAGGGACTAGCAGGGGCTACAAATAAACATATATAAAAAGGATGTCAACTGTAAGAAACTCCCTACCACAGTCATTCCCCAGGCTGCCTGAGGCCCTTTTGCCATCTCTCTTTCTCATTGGTCTCTTCTAAAAGGACACTTTAAACCCATTGCCCCGAATGGATGCTTCCAGGAGAACACAGTGTGACACGCACCTGCTCCCATGCAGCTGGCCTGAGCTGCTGGGCCACTGCTCAGTGGTAGGATCCTGTTGGACTCTCTCTTGCCCTCATGGGTGCCAATCAAAACCACGATCTGGTCACTAAAGGGGACCTTGTTAGCAGAACCCCTGAGAAAGAAAAAAGTCAGCCAGACACTCAGGCCACAGGAAAGATAAGGCTGATAAGGAAAGACAGAGCTGAGAGCAGGAAGCAGCCCCCTCCCTATCCAAGTATACATAAGTTTACAATCAGTGGTCAGATGAGGGTTCCACATTTAAAAAGACATTTGCCTACAGAGCCACAGCTGTATCTGACTGTCAGAAGAACAACAAATATTCAAGTGACTCTGAGGTCACTAGTGTCTACAGATGACAAGGAGAACCCAGCATTAGGAGGGTAAGGACTCATCACTAAGTAGGAACTGTCCTGTCTCCTCTTCCTCCCTCACACTCATCTGCCCAGGACCCTTGGGGGTCCCACCTCTCCTGCCAGCCTGGGAGCTTCTCCCGAGAAGGTCCCAAGGGTACAGTGTCCACCTCTCACTGGTTGAACTGTGCTTCTTGGCAAAGGACCCCACAGTGGAATGGCCAGCTCTTGAACTCTTGTCACACAAAGAAGTCAACACCCTAGGTGCAGAGATTTTGAGTTTAGGGAAGTAAGGGTTGAAGAGAGAAGCTACTTGGCTAGTTCGATTGTCAGCTCAGCTACCAATAAGCAGTAGACCATTGACAGCTCACTTGGCATTTGCAACCCTCCCTTCGAACACCTGTAATACAGCATTGACAGCAATGACTCTCTCATATGATGGGTGTGAAGGGGTCTCATTGACAGTGAGACACCAGCAAAGATGAGGGATGAAGAGAGCTGCTATAATTTTTTCTTCTTTCCTTTTTTCTCATTGGGAGTTCAGGTGTGGAAAGCCCAGAGAAGCAGGCTATTGATTAGCATACAGTCATATGTCACTTAACAACAGGATATGTTCTGAGAAATGCGTCATAGGAAGTTTCATCCTTGTGGGAACATCATAGAGTGTCTTTACATAAACCTAGATGGGAGGGATAGCCTACACACCTAGGCTGTACGGTCTAGCCTGTTGCTCCTGGGCTACAAACCTGTACAGCATGTTACTGTAGTGAATACTGTAGGCAACTGTAACATAATAGTAATGATTTGTTATCTAAACACAGAAAAGGTACAGTAAAAATACAGTATAAAAGACAATAAATGGAGCCAGGAGCAGTGGCTCATGCCTGCAATCCCAACGGTTTGGGAGGCAAAGGTGGGAAGATTGCTTGAGCCCAGGAGTTTAAAACTAGCCTGGGCAACATGGTGAAACCCCATCTCTGAGAAACAAAAAGAAAGAGATGGGGAGAGAGAGAGAGAGAAAGAGGAAGGGAAGGGGAAGGGGAAGGGGAGGAAGGAAAAGAGAGAGGAAGGAAGGAAGGAAGGAAGGAAGGAAGGAAGGAAGGAAGGAAGGAAGGAAGGAAAGAAGGAAGAAAGGAAGGAAGGAAGGAAAAGAGAAAGGAAGGAAGG